AGTGTGTTTTTGTCCATAGGAGAGCAATCTGATTGCGAATAACTGACGGCCAACCGGAGATCAGAACAAAAGCGAAAATAAAGGCAGCAACTAACCACTCAATTACACAAAGTTAAACAATAAGTAGAGGAAGGCACGTATATGTACTCCATGCTTAACTGATTGTCCATGCTTAGAACGTACAGTTAACTAAAGTGAACAATATGCAGGCTCAAAATGCACCTGATTATTAAAATTATAAAGGACCCGTATATATATATAATATAAATATATATATAGATATCGTACATCTTTTAACCTCTTTCTACGCCCTCCGCAATGGGCCAACCTTCAACACTTTTAAACTATTTTGGCAACGGGCCATTAGCCCGTAGAATAACGCATTTTGTGTATATTGAACGAAGTACATTGATTTATGTAAACATTTATTAAATACATAAACTATATGTAATTGGGTTTTTTAAATGTATTTTGGCGGAAGCACGTTTGTTAGTCAGCGGGGCACTAAAGTGATTGGGTTAATACTTCAATAAGGGTGAGTTAAACTTCTAGGGCAATTGTAATGGCCACCTTAATAGAACTGCAACACCAAGGTCTTTATGGCACTGGCAATGTGGAAGGCGCAGTCGCGCACCTCCAAGGTGTTCTTCTGTATGGCCTGCTTGTCGTCCGCCTCGATGGCCTTCTGCAGATTCTCGCACTCGTGCTGGATTAATATGTTCTGGCGGGTCAGCAGTTTAAGGGTCTCGCGCGTGGGATCGCTAGCATTTGGTGGCTAAAAATAATATTCAATATTATAAGCTACTCATCTAAAGTGTCTAGGAAATCTACTCTTAGCCCCATAACATTATTATTTAGTAAGGTTTCATATAAATCTCAAATTGATGTGGCTTCTTAAACAACTTTCTTATGTTTACGTTTCATTGAAACAATTGTTTTAAAATCTCATTTTTAATTATTTGGTTTGATGGGTCCTAATCAATATTGGTAAACCAATTTCAGTACGCTTTTTGAAATTTAAAATCTCAATCTACAAGATCCTCTTCGATGTTTTTTTATTTCATAGTCTAAGGCGAGCAGAGATTAAAATCAAATGAAAATGTTTTCATCCATTTGAAATATTTATCATGATTCGGAAGCTGTTTTAAATTTTTAAAAATTGTTATTCATAAGATTTTCTTAGTGACGATACAAAAACTGCATACGCAAAACTTTTGCTGCCCAATGTTATTTCGGTTTTTTTTTTTTAATACGAATATAAAAAGGCTAAATGTATTGGCATAGAACAAGAAATATTAAACCAATCATAAGGAGATTTTTGCGAGGGTTTGCAATTGATATCTTACCAAATTAGCATACAGAGCAATTAAATCAGTCACGGCACTGCGAATCAGTTCTCCATGCGGGGCAATCGACTGTTTTTGATCCTCCGGCACTGGCTGCATGGCTCGTATGAGCTCCTTCAGACAGCGAGTGACCAAATCGGATCGCAGCTTGACCTCCTCACCGAAAGGCTTGCCATCGCCAGCCATTTGGTACATGCTGGTCGTATTCCGGATATCCGTGTGACCCTTGGCCACGTTGGGCACCAGACGACGCTCGTACATGCTGGCCGGCCGCTTGATGGTCGACTGGTTCGATGAGTCATTGGAGGAGCCGCTGTCCACATTGGCAGCCCCACCCTCTGGCAGCGACAGGGGCTCGTGCTCCGTATCTGGACTGCTTAGGCTCAGATCAATGCGACTAACCAAAGATAAATCAAAAACAAATCATAAAATAAACGTAAGCAAAGTAAATGCAAATGCAAATGGAAATGGAAATCGGAGGTCTCACAGTGGCTCATCGTAGACGCTGTTGTTGGAGGCGCTCGAGAACTTGGACTTGAGCTGCGAATTCTCGCTGGACAGCATCTGCACCACGTTCTTCAGCTGATTGATCTCCGACTTGTAATCGCTGAGCTGTTTGCGCAGCGTTTCCATTTCATTGTGCGAATTCGCATTGCGTGGTGGCGTATGGACAATGGCCTAAGCAAAAGAAATCATACAAATGAATAAAAAATCAATAAATAAATAAATAAAATCAATAACAATTGCAGTTCAACAAAAGGGAAAGCGGACAAATCACTTGATAACTACACATATTTAAACTACCCTTTTACAAGTATCAGCTAGTTTTATTGAGGCTTAAGGTCTACATTTGGATTTCTACCATTGGGGATCGACTAGATTGACTAAAAAAACAGGGAGCTATAGTGCCCTGGCCTACAGATGAACACAATGGATACAGCACGGGTTGTCTAAGTTTCAGTCTTCGCTTACGCTTCTAGCCGAAGCTATTGTTCAGCTTGAGTATCTTTTGGCGCATTAGGTTTACCTGCTGGGCCATCGGCGGCACCGGCGCATAGTCATCATCGCTAGCCACCGGATCATAGATGGGCTCATCATCCGACAGGTTCGGATCGTGTCCGCCCTGCTCGAACGAACCGAGCAGCATCGAATTGTTGGCATACGGCAGCGATTGCAGCGACTGATGGCCGGGCAGTGGGGCATCCAATGGACGCAAATTGGCCATGTTTTGCCGCCGCATGGCGTCGACGAGCACATCGGTCAGGAGACCAGTGAACTCGGCCCGATTGAAGCGTGCCAATTTCTGACGACCCTGTCGGCGAAACGATGTTAATGAATCAAGGTTTTAATCATCTGTGAACGGCGGCAAGGTCAAACCTGATTGCGCGTGGCGCTCAAAAATGGATTAGCCGGCAAAAATGGCACAGTTGCATGATCAGCATTCAGGGTGCTCGTCGACCAGACTGCAAAGTGAATTGATTTATATTAAGAACTAATGGGTATTAACATTTTACTTACTAGCTTCGCATTCGCGTCGATCCACCTCGTCGTACAGGTCCATGACCAGCTCCTCGAACATCTTATTTGGCACGAGTTGCAGCTTTCCACGGGCAATCTTCAGCTGCTCGCTTATGTCAGCCCCATTGGCATCCGGTATGATCATGTGGCGACCACTCTAAAAAAAAATATAACTCTATTATGAAGGGTATACAACGAAGGCTTGCACCAATGGATGTAATTAGCCTTTTAATAGCTAAATCTAGTTGTTAAGATTAATAAGTGAAAAGCTTTTGTCTCCTAAACTAGGAGCCCTACTATATGAAGTTTTAAAAAGGTCAAGCACTAATGAATTATAGATCAGATTAACTTACTTTACAGATTTACAGCTTTACAGAATTTTGTTTTTATGAATTTCTAATCAAAATTTTCCTAAAAGAAACATTCTTATTTATTTTTTAGCCAAACTGATATACTCGAACGTGTCGCTTGTTTTCTTTAAAATAGCCACACGGATAAATTATTTTGAAGTTAGCTGAACGTGATGAAACGATTTGACTAGCTTGCATGACCTAATCTCAGCTGAATGAGTCAATGAGCTTCTAAAGGGGGAATTCAATTCGAATTTGACAAAGTCATATATTAGTAACCTGGTCATCTCACCGCATGATCTGGCTTCTTGCCGCCCAGGAACGTGATGATCCTGTCGGTGACATCGTACATGGCCTCCAGCAGTCGCTCGGCGATGGTGTTATGGTTGTTGGCCCTGGCCAACTCAAGGGGAGTCATCCCATTGCCGTCCAAAGCGTTCACGTCGGCCCCATAGATCAGCAGCATCTCGATCTGCGATGCCTGGCCAAACTTGGCCGCCATATGGAGGGGCGTCGAGAGCTTGTCCTCGTGATAGTAATTGGGATCGGCGCCCTGAACCAAGAAGCGCAGCGAGGTCTCCAGATTGCTGGTCCTCACGCTGGCATGCAGTTGCCGGCTCAGCTCCTGCTCCAGACTGCCAATGGACCCGTTGCCATCGTCATCGTCCTGGAGACTGGGTTTCAGCACGAACGTAAGATTTACATGCTTGGCCTTGATGAAGTCGGATTTGGTGGGGTGCAGGGCATCCTTGGGCGAGGGTTTGCGCCAGCGGGGTAAATGTTTTCCCCCGGTGGAACCCGTACTGCCATCCAGCAGATGGTGCTCCCACACACTATTCGCTCCATGGGCATTCAGCGAGTTCACAAAGTTCAGCACTGAGGGTTCCCAGTTGCCCTGGCGCAGCGACTTTACGATCGAGATGTGCCTGCCCAGACTTCGATGCACGGAACAGCAGTCGGCGCATAGGAGGATGCCGCGATTGATGCTCGCCCAGGATGGATCACCGGCGCCACAATCGCCGCAAACTTCGGTCTGCAAACGCGATTTCCCCCTTGACATCTTGCCTCTGGTCGAAATCGTGGGCGTGGCTGCTGGATGGGAGTGATCCGGATCCGGCGGCGCTATAAATAACTTCCTGTGCGCTTCGATGATGCTGCTGGCGAAACACATTCAGCATTCCATATGCACACAAACTGCAGGGGAGAAAAACAAAAAATAGAACACTCAAGTTGGGGAAAACTGAAGTGGCTTCGTTCTGATTCACTGGCAAACTGTCGTCTCTGATTGGAAATTCTGCCTAATGGCGGTGAAAGGTCAAATATCAGTGACTCGGGTTCACCCCTGGCCATCAATTAGGAAAATTACTTTTAATTAAACGCTGCGAGCTGCACTAGAAAACATTTGCGGATGCTTTTTTACAAGAGTTTGTTTTATTTTTCTCTGCTCGCCAGTGTGGCCAAGTAGTGGTACTAAGAAAGCGGCAGATTCAAACCGCTAAGTAGTCTAACTTATTAAAGCGCTTTTCGGGGTTGCTAAAAATGTTTTATTTAAATGTTATAAGAAAGTAGAAAATAAAGACTTGACAATTTTGAAAAATAACTACTAGTAACCTCAGAAAGCCTTAAAAAACTGAATATTTTAAGGTGCAGTCCTGCCAGACTGTACAAAGTCATCATCTGGTCCCACCAATTTCCGCCTTTCTGGCAGCCTGGTAAGGAATGTATAGTTGTCTCGCTTGCACCTATCCAGAAAAACATATGTTTATCAACAGATGCGACAGTTTGACAATCACTGCAGTTTTTAGAGCACATGTGACAAAACAAAACAAAGTGCCGACTTTCAATTGCATTTTGATTGTTTTAAACGTGTAAGAAAAAGCACAAATAGTAAAGTATGCTAGTGGATAACCTGTACACTTCGGTGGCCTGCAATCGCTGCACGGAATGCGCGGACTGGGGCCCAAATGGATGGATTGCCTATGGAGCTTGCAATGCCATAGCCATAATGGATCCAAAGGTAGCAAAATTGATTTCTAATGAAAATATGAGAAATATTTAATAGTGTTTTGCCTAATTTAGTTCAATGGCAATTCGACCAAGATCCTGTACACCTTGGTCGAGCACACAAAGCGAGTGAACACTGTAAAGTGGTTGGATCAAGGGACACTCCTCACCGGCGGCGATGATGCAAATGCAATCATCTGGGAATTGGGGCCAAGTGGAGCCACCAAAAGCGTTCTGCTCAAAGGACACGCCAGTGGGGTGAATGCTGTGGATGGAGTGCGTCGGCAGGATGGCTCCTGGCTGCTGGCCACCGCTGCAGCAGATAGCACCATCAAATTGTGGACCTACCAACAAGGCAATTGTGTGTGCCTCCAGACCATACCATTGTCTGGCGGATTCTGCTTCTCCCTTCGCCTGAAGCTGCTGCCCAAGAGCAATCATGTCCTACTGGCCTTCAGTGGCGATGACGAGTCTGTTTCCCTGTGGACAGAACAAACAGAAGCCACAGGTGGTGGCGATGCACCGGGTCTGCAGTTTGAGCGGGTCCATAAACTCACTGGCCACGAGGATTGGGTTCGAGGACTTGATTTCGTGGACGATGGAGAGGATCTGCTGCTGGCTAGTGGTTCGCAGGATAATTTCATTCGTCTCTGGAGGATTGCGCCTCGTAGTGAGGAACAAATGCGAGAGAATCGGATTGATCTGCTGCAGCTAACCGAAAACGACAGCGAAATCAAGGTGGAGGAGAAGATTCTACAACTGGGAAAGCAGGCCTGGTATGCAGTGAGCTTGGAATCGGTTTTATACGGCCATGAGGGATGGATTTATGGGGTTGACTGGCACAAGACACCACAACAGGGTATGCTATAAATACATTTTTAATTCGGCGAAAAAACCATAAACTATGTTACTTTTTAGAGCTGCGCCTGCTATCCGCCTCCATTGACAAAACCCTCATTGTTTGGGCGCCCACGGAACAAGGCGTCTGGTTGGAACAAGTTCGCGTCGGCGAAGTGGGCGGCAACTCCATGGGCTTCTTTGGCGGAAAGTTCTCCGCCGATGGCCACTCGATCATGGCCCACAGCTACCAAGGCGGCTTCCACATTTGGAATCAGGATCCAGAGCGCCCGCAACTCTGGACCTCCAATGTTATTGTGGGCGGTCACTACGGTGAGGTGAGGGATCTGGCTTGGGAGCATGAAGGCGCTTACCTGATGAGCGTCTCAGCGGATCAAACAACACGTCTGCACGCTTCCTGGCTGCAGGATGGACGTAATCCCACTTGGCACGAGCTGGCGCGTCCGCAAGTGCACGGCTACGACATGCAGGCGTTGGCCCTGCTCTCGCGCTATAAATTCGCCAGTGGAGCTGAGGAAAAGATTGTGCGCACCTTTCAGGCGCCGGCGAACTTTATCGAAAACTTCCGTCACATCAGTGGGATAAAGAAAGATGAGGCTGGAGATGCTTTACTGGATTGTAAGTCATCCTAGTCATCTTATAATACTTAAGTGAATTCACACGCTATGTCATTTCTTTTAGCTCTTCCGAAGGGCGCTTCAGTGCCTTCGCTGGGCCTTTCCAACAAGGCTGTCTATAAGGTAGACACCGCCAATGAGGCGACCAGCAAGGGGAAAGATGATTATCCGGACAACTACTTTGTGCCCATTACTTTGGAAACACCACCGCAGGAGGAGACTTTAATGCAGAACACACTTTGGCCGGAGCTGCAGAAGCTTTATGGCCATGGTTACGAAATCTTTGCACTGGCTGCCACTGCAGATGGTTCCGTCTTGGCATCTACCTGCAAAGCCAGTAATGCCGAGCATGCACAGATAATATTGTGGTGAGTAGTTTGTCGAATAACAAACAAAAATAGAAAATAAGTAGTCCTAATAAACAGCAGAAGACATGCTGATCCCTTTTGCCCGAAAGGATTGAAGATTCAGCATTTGTTTAGGATACATTTCCATATGTTACAATAAGAACTAAAAATGTTACTGTGCTTTCAGGAACACTTCGAACTGGAAGCAGTTGCAAAAGCTGAGTGGCCATCAGTTGACAGTCACGCAACTTAGTTTCTCCCCCGATGCGCAGTATCTGCTATCCGTTTCCCGGGATCGTCGCTGGTGTCTGTACGAGAGGCAGAACTCCTCCGTGGGCTACCAACTGGTGGCCAGCACCGACAAATCCAATGGAGTTCACACCCGCATCATCTGGTCTTGTGATTGGTCGCACGATGGCCAGTTCTTTGTGACCAGCTCGAGGGATGGAAAGGTAGTGGCTTGGAAAAAGGGAGAAGATGGCAAAGAATCTTCTCTAAATGGCTGGCAGGCGGCAGCAGTTTTGGACCTCAAAAATGAGTCAATAACAGCTGTGGCTTTTTCCCGAAATTATCTTAACAAAACAGATGACACTTACATTCTGGCTTTGGGTACGGAAACGGGGCTAATTAAGATATATCAATTGGTTCGTGGGGAATGGAAATTACTCAGCGATTTGACTAAGAGGTGAGTAGGTAATTCTATTTCAAATGTACTCTGATATTAATTTCTTTCACATTTAAAGTCAAGCTCATCATCTCACTGTTCGGCGACTTCAGTTTCGACCTGGAAAAGAACTCCAGCTGGCGAGTTGCGGGGAGGATCATTTGGTACGAATCTACGACCTGAAGCTCGAATGAGTTTGACAACCTGTGAATTAAACTAGCCTTATTACCATCCACCGCTGCGTTTAATTAGACATGTCTGTATCATCTGCAGACGAAACGAAAAAGGGGATGGGTCTCGTCACGACCGATTTATCTGGATGTCCCTATCTAATCTGCTGCAATTAGGTGTGTTTTTGGGGTTCCTTCCTTGGCTTCTGTTTTGCGTGCCCTGATAACATGTTGTTGACACCTAATTAGCTGCAAAGTATTGACATTGCAATCACTTTGATTCGGCTATTTAAGTAGATAGTTCCGATGGCTGGATCCACAGTCTGTTGTACACAATTGAAGATGAAGGCAGCTATAGTTTTGGCACTGATCGGTTCAGTTTTGGCTGCTCCGCCACTTGTGGTGATGGTGACGCCAGTTCGCGACTTTGACCAGTATGCTCATATATTTGCGGAGGTGCGACCAGCGGGACAAAGTCCTCAACATCACAATCAGCCTCAACATTTGGAGATTGATGTCAAGCAGCAGCAACCCGATTCTCCAAATCATCAGGTGGAGTTGGAAATTAAACCCGTGGAACAGAAGCTACCTCAGCACCTGGAGATCGAGATCAGCAAGCAACATGAAAACTCTGCCCAGGAGAACTTGGTCCATTTGGAAGTAAAGCCAGTGGAGCACAAGCAGCCTCAACACTTGCAGGTGGATATCAAGCAGCAGCACTCGAACTCTCCTTCGAATCACCAGATGGAACACAAGCTTCCTCAGCACATGGAAGTTGAGATCAAGCAGCAGCAGCAACATCAACACCTGGTTTCTTTGTCAGCCAGGCCCGAGGAGCAGAAGCATCCCCAGCATTTCGAACTGGATGTCGTTCAGGAGAATAAGCCAAATCAGCATTTGAACCTCAACCTGCGCCAATAGAGCTGCAAAAGATGTATTCGTACATATAACAAAGGGCATTAAATATGTATAATTACAAAGCGAGCGTTTTCACTGGCCCCAACTTCACTCCCAAGGTGCTTGTAAAAATGAGAAATAAATAAAAATGGTTAGCCCGTGAATGTGGATGGAATGAGCACAAGGAGCCGCAGTTTGCAATTTCCGTTTAGCTGCTGGTGCTGCATACTTTTTTGGGCCAAGCCAGCAGCTATGGCCACGTGTCCGGGATCAGGAGTCAGGAGTCGGGAATAGCGTAAAGTGGAGTGGCGCTGGGTGCTGAGTTATGACCAGAGCGTGCCACCTTTTAGACCGCAGCTTGCAATTTCCGTGCTCCAACTGACTTTATGATTGCCATTGGCTTCTGGCTGAAGCTTTAGCTTCAGTTTCAGCTGCAGCACCATTGTTGTCCAAACTTTAGCGACCAGAAGGAGCAAAGTGGGGCTGGCAATGCGGTTAATTGGCTGGCGGCCATCTTTCGCTGGCACAACTCTGCGTCTCTATATAGCTTCTATATCTATATTTATATCTTTATCTTCGTGCCGGCGAATGTCGTTGAACCAGCACATAGATAAGCGCATAAATCTGTATTGTTCTCGTTGCCACAATGGTGCACAAAGTTAACTATTGAATTGCATTTAGGCCACGTCGGAGGTCGATTCTCCTCGCACCTATTCACAGGCGGCCAATATCCTTTGGGGAAGTGCCATGAAGGCCTCATGCCTCGATGGATCCGGGGTTTCCTTCGTCGCCCGTTCACACTGATGGAAAAACCGCGAAAAAATACGGATTCATGATATGCTTTTTTTTGGGGATTACACTTAAAAATGTTTTAAATAACTATATAGTTCTAAACAAATTGAAGCTTGTAATTAATTTTGCTTTTGGAAATGGCTTCAACCTTTTATTTCTTTGAAAACATTACAATTTCTTTGGTACAGAAATATAATTTATTAGTGATTTATAAGTGAATTTCACTACAATTAAAATAATGGTATTAATTAAATTGGGTTGCGTTTAGGAAAATAACAATTCGCTGGCTCAAAACAATTACTGAGGCTTACAATTTTTCGGTAGCTAAAATTTAATTTAAATATGGTCAAGTAATTGAAATAACGACAATGTGCTTATACTTGCATATTTAAAATATATAAAAGCTATTAAATAAATGTTTCTATACAGATAATGTAAAATACCCCTTTTTTTTCCAGTGTAATATTTTTCGCACGCGTTTTATTTTGAGTCAAATATTGGCAAACAAAGCGGCCATTGCAATGGCGCTACACGCGTTTCCGCTTCCGCTGAAAGTTGCACAAAAATGCATACATTCATGCATTTGCGCCGAAACTTTTGTTCAACTTCCATTGTGCTGTGGCATGATACCACTCTTTATTTATTTTCTTAGCCCCGCCATTTGTTATTGCTGCAACAATTTTGCATTCTGCGGAAAAAGTTTAAGTTTCAATTGCAGCGAACGTGCCCAAGAGTTGCTGACAGCCACTGGAGCGGAGAAAACTGAAGCCATTCTGGCCATAACATGTGTAAACATATTCGCATCCCTCTCCCCCCCTCCTCCTTTAGCTCTCCGCATTCTGAATTCAGAATCCTACATCCAACATCCTGCATCCTTTTTTTCCCCGAACTCCGCAGACTTTCATTCGTTTGCATGTGTGTCAGTAGTGGATTTCGCTTGGTTTGCGCTTTCTGTTTGCCTTCCATAGTTTTTTGTTTGACTTGAAGTCCAATCTTCCTTATACTGCGAAAAAATTACAAAAAAATCATAAAACAGAGCGATTTCTAAGGAAAGGTTTGATATATGTTAAAATCCAGTAGAGGGATAAGTACGCATAATTACGAGGTAGGTTTTTCAGGAGTAGGTTTTTATTCACGGTCTATAAACAACTACTCCAGGAATAAGTAGAAAGTCAATTTGCTTCTGAAGTCGTGAAAAATACTGTATCAAGAGATTTTGTCTATATGTATAAAAATATCGAAGCTGATCATTTTCCAACTATAGGGAAAGTTTAATTCCAAAAAATTAAGATTACTAAGAAAATTAATGTTTTAAATGTTAAATGTTAAATTTAAATGTTTTAAAAATTAAAATTATGATTATTAATTTTGTGGTATTGATTGTTAGTACTATTCATTTTTAATGTTTTAAGGTTTAAGGTTTATTTTTGTAAGTGTGGATTATGTATAATTTTTATCTCTAATTAAATACACTTTTTATTCTGCCTTTTTTGATGTCGCTTGGTTTAAAATGTAGGTTATTATTTATTGATTACAAAAATTTTGAAAATATTTTACAAAAAAACTACATCAAAAATAAAATGTTACCCACAAAGATAAACAAAAAATAAAATGTAAAACTCTCAGTGCACTTCTTCCAGGATGTGTTTATAACATTTTCACTGTAGTTACTCTGCAGAGATCTGCGAACATCTTGATGGGTTTGCTGATGCTTCCCTTATGCTGGTCATCGTCTCCCAAAATCCACAAAAAATTAATTATTCCAGAAAGGGCAGCGTATGCCAGCCATATCCATATTTTTTTTGCCCCGCATTGCGCTGTCACAATTGCGACCCCTTTGGCGTCCACAAACCTACATATGCACATCCACAGCCACATCCACATCCACATCCACATCCACATTTACACTTACACCCACGCATATGTTTCGCTCGTATTTCCGTTTTGACTGCGCCAACAGCAATGGCGCGCGCGCTCCATGATTTGTGCATTTCCGCTTCTTTTTGGGCAGCACGCACGCGACGTGCACGAACATGCATGCGGGGGCGAACCGGAAGCTGCCGAACTGAAGCCTGCGACTGCGACAAAGCCAATTGATGCGCATTGAGCATTTGGCCTAGTTCGAAGTGGAGTGGATTGGAGTGGACCTGCACCAATTTAAATCGCCAATTGATTAGGCCACGACAAGCACTGCTTTTTGGCGCATTTGCCGCCGTTGTTGCAAGCAAAACTTCGAATCGAAAACTTTCGGCCTGCTAAGCCCAAAAGCCCAAGCGTTCAAAGTTTTTCAATTACCTGACCACGCTGTGCTCCTGTTTCCAGGATCCCTGGATCCAAAAGCAAATTTCAGGTGCTTCCCATAGTTTTGTTTGCTCGCCAATGGAAAGGAAAAGGGCAAGTTTAACAAGACAACGCGGGTAAAAACGAAACTAGTACAAGTAGCAAGTTGAAAGTTTTGGAGCGAACAAAAAAAAAAACAAATAAAATAAGACATGCCTTGTTGTATATTTTGATTGTAAATATTGTAATATAAACTTGTACACCGGTTCATTTGGCCAGCTTCATTCAGTGGCCTAGTCCGTTTTCATTTGTGTAGCAAGCCTTTGAAAGTTGCTAAACCTTAATTGTTTTCCAATTAGTTTTGCTGTAAAAAGTTTGAACTTCATTTAGCTCCAACACCCACCCACCCGTCGAATTTGCCCTCGCTTTATCTCCTGTTTTTTGCTCGTGTCGGTCGCAGTCAACGTGGCGTATGATGAATTTTTAATTACGTGTGCTGCAAGCAAACCAGACAGAAAAAGCGAGGCTAAAAAAAAGCAAAAAAAATTGGTAACAACTGTTTGCCACTTGCAAATTGCAGCTACCCAAAAAAGAAATATAAAAACAAGTACGGTGGCAGTTGAAGAACTCTAAAGCTAAAAACGTATCGTTTTTCCCGACTGCTTTTGGAGGTGCAACCAGAGTCTCCATTTAGTCATATTCATATTCAAAACGGCGAAAAACAACTCGGCATTTTGCCAAGATAATTACACATACGGATCAGAGCGTTTAGGGTCCTGCACTTGACAATGAAACTGAGTCTGAATTCGGCTTTAACGTCTGATTTACACACTGATGTTTGGCCGCCGCTTTAAGCTTCGTTTAAATGCAGCCATTATGCTGCTACTATTTGTGTTTGCTGAATGGAATCGAAAACAGTTTGGATTGTTTTAAGCGCGAATCGCTTTCGGCCATTTTCAACACTCCTGATTGCAGTTGTAAATTTGCGAAAAAAATAGATTGCAAAAAAGTGAAAGAGCAAACGGTTTTGTGTACTGTCAACAGCGCAGCAGCACCATCATCACCTCTGACTATTTGCCACCCTTAACACTCAT